CCATATTTTCATTATCCACTCATCTGTTGGTGGCCATCTATACTGATTCCATTTCATCACTACTTTAGAATATAACAGCAATGAGGAGCATAGATATGAAATGTTTCAGTGATAAAAGTGGGTACGCACTCAGAAGTGACACACTTGGAGTATGCGAACTTCTATCTTTAGCTCTTCAAGAAACCTCCACACTGATTCCCATAGTGAATGTACCAGTTTTATACTTCCACTGATAGTAAGGATTCCCCTTTACCCAAAACCTCAACAGAATTTGTTGCTGTCCTTTTTTGTTATAACCATTCTCACTGAGATGAAATAGAAATTCAAAGTAGTGTTAATTTGTACTCTGATGGCTTTAGATGTTGAACACTTTTAAGATACTTATTGGCCCCATGTTTCTGTTGAGAACTGTCTGTTCAGTTCATTGGCTCATTATATTAATTGCCAATGTTGAAAATTAGATGTTTTAAAGAGTAGGAATGACATATTTGCACACCAAATTCCCTAACCTAGAGCTGTGAAGATGGCTTAGAGGGTGAGAGGTTGCTGCACAAGCACGAAGACCTGAGTTCAGATTCCCAGTACAGATGTAGAATCCAAAAATCATGGCATACGTCTGTAACCCTAGGGTGGAGACAGATGAATACTGGGGGTTTACTGATCAATTAACTTGGCCTAGATGGCAAACTCCAGGTTTAGCGAGAATCTGTCTCAAAAAAAAGTAGAGGATCTGGAAAGATGGCTCAACAGTTAAATCTGCTCTTGCAGAGGACCCGGGTTATGTTCCTAGCACAGTAGCTCACAACCATCCAAAACTCCACTTCCAGAGGTCCTACCCCATCTTCTAACTTCCATGGGCACCAGGCACACATGTGATGTATACATACATGTAGGCACAATTCATACACATAAAATATTTTTTTAAATGGGGTTTCTCTGTGTAACAGTCCTGGAATTCATTCTGGAATTCATTATGTAGACCAGACTGGCCTTGAACTCACAGAGATCTGCTTACCTCTACCTCCCAGTTCTGGGACTAAAAGTGCGTGCTACCACCACAAAGCTAAATAATTTTTTAAGGTAGAGAATGATAGAAGAAAACACTCACTGTTGCTCTCTGGACTACATACACACATGCCCACACAGTCATGCAACATGCACAAACAAGAACACCCACACAGATGCATACAACAAATAAAAGGCTAGTGTAGTCTCTCTCTGTCTCTGATCCTGTATCATCTCTCTCTCTCTCTCTCTCTCTCTCTCTCTCTCACATACACACACACACACACACACACACACACACTGCAAACCAACGCAACACCTTCTTGGCGTGGAGCTAGAAAGACTATTAACTCTTACATCACTGAAAGAACAGAATTTGGAAACAGCAGGTGTTTCAGGCACTTGTAGAATTTCATTTTAAGACATTCATATGAGTTGGATATTAAGCATCTCGGATGTGCTCTGCATCATAGAGATACTCCACACAATAATCTTCAGAATTACTGGAATAGTGAGTGAAGAAAATAACAAGATAACAGGCCAATCAATATTAAACCCACCAAAGACAAAGGCTCACACTTACTGTGTGCTGACCCTATGAGTATCAACCATGGGATTCCAGCCCTCTGATGCAGTGGAAGATGCTTACAAACAGGTTCAAGACATTGAAGAAGACCATCAAGACAGGTTATACATCAGGATTACAGACCATGACTGTACAATCACAAAGATCCTGGAGATGGCAGTAATGGAGAGGAAAAGGAAGCTGAGGAAATTCTGGATTACCATCTCTACCTTCCTGTAGTTAGGTAATTGACCTAGACATGAGCATGAAATTTCAGTGACATAAAATGAACTACAGAACAGAATTGAAGACCTGATGGGCTTTCTTTTCACTAATTTATCAGGTATTTCGAGCTATGTCCATCATCTATACATCATGAACTTTTTATAATTTTGGCCTAAAACTGTATCTTTTGGGTAATGAAAAATACAGCTGCCATTAAGTCTAGTTTTTCTGAACACATCTTTATGGTTTCAAGATTGTTTCAGACATGGGCAAGTTAAAATTTTTACAAATTGCATTTTTAATTTGCAGTGAGAATTTCAGTGTCAACTGCACAAGTTCTTGCATGAGGAGTAGCAAAAGAAAGCAGAATTCACTTGTAAATGCTATTCAAGTTTTTCCTAACTTTTTCGATCCTCCCAGAAGAGCTGCCACTTTTTGCAGGTTTAGGACAGTAGCCCTCCCCACAATCACCTTAATGTCTTGTCGGAGAGTTAGTTTTTAAGAACCACTGGAATTCCCAGTGCTGCTCCAGTTGATTGGGCCGAGTCCTTCCCTGCTCCCAGCTGTACAGAGGACCATACACCATCATGCTCAGCAGGGTTGGGACTGTTTGTTTTGATGGCCTTGAAAGAGTGCAAGAAACCTTACCAGACACTCTGCTTTCTGTTTTCACCTTGGAGAACATCAAATACCTAATGTGAGACTGACATCTGACTTTGCCTCTGCACAATCTTGACCTTGGGGGTGCTCACCAACTGCCTGGCAATTCAAGAAATGTCAGTGTCTTCACATGTGGATTGTTTCAGTGGGAAAGACCTGAATTACATGATCTATCAATTCTGGATGAAGAACTCCAATTCAAAACTTTTCTGTTGCCTGTTTTATTAGATCCTATGACTTGGGAATTGAAGCCAATCCCTGATTTGCTGCAGTGTCCCTGCATCTCTTTAAGGGTCCTCCCTCTGGTTACTCATTGATCTCATTTTATTCACATTTTCATTCTCTACTCAGGTATCTCATGTCTGTGATGCCATTTGTGTTCCTATGAACTGTGCACTGTTGTGTGCAATGTAGTGTTAAACCATATATTTTGCTACTACATACTTCAGTCTGTTTTATGCTCCTCACTTTCATACGCAAACACTTTTAAATCTTTGTCTATTTAGAAACCATGTGAAATTGGAGGACAGGCAAGATTGTTAGATTTACTGAAACTACAAAATATATCAATATCACTGTGATACAAAAAGATATTTGTGTCTCACAAAGATATTATGGAGGTTTGGTGAGTTACTGAGCTCCTTAGCCTTCAACCTTCATGTAGTTCTAAACAAGTCTAAAATAAAGATATTTATTTCTATTTTAACTAATAACATAGCAACATTTGTCTAATGTGCATTAGACAATACACTAATGTGCATTTCAACATAAATTATTTAATGATACACTCTGCTCAACATTTTCAAAAATCCTTTTATTATTAAAATACTACTTCCCCAAAGGTTTCAATATGTTCTTCACCTTTATGGCAATACAATGTTAATTGGATCTACTTTGAATAGTCTTCTTGGAAAAAAAGATGTAAAGCACTGAACTTCTGGGACTGGCTCTTCCTGGACCATAACAGTTAACTGATAAATTGTTAAGCACTTGAGAGTCATTCCTAAATACAAGCAATTACTAAAAGAACAAATTTTATAAACTCTCCATATCCATTATACTGTAAATAAAGAAATATAATGTGTAGTTAAAATTCATCAATCTCTACTTTTCAATATCTCACTATTACTAATGTTCAAATGGTAACTTAAAGTACTACTCTGGAAAAATATCTCCAACTTGGCAGTTCATTAACATTTTGATACTGTGAATTCAGTAAATGAGACAACACAGAGAAGTCCCTTTAAATGCCCCTTCCCCTAGAAAGCCTGTGCTTGGCCTGTATAACAGCATAGATTCTTTTACCTTAACACTTCTTGTTCAAATTAATCCACTGTAGAGAAGCTCTGAAGTGATGGATATGTTCAGACCTGACCAATGATGTCATATAACATATGAGAATCAAACTATAGCATAGGTGATGTTTTAAAACTGTGAACTGTGACAGTACGTGACAAAGGGAGACATACCAAAAAGCTTAACACTGAACATTGACACAGATATCCAAAGAGAACTAAAATATGCCAGACAGAGATGCTTCAATTATAAAGCACTGGGAGGGGGGGTGCTAGGTCTGAAAACCCCTGACATAAAGGTGATGGGGCCCACAAAAGTGAAAGGGCCCAAAGAAATCAGTCTCTTTCCTTCCTCAAATGTCTATTGTGTTATTTCTATTGTCTTCCTTCTTCTTGTGCCACATCCTTCTACCAAAATATGTTTCCCCCTTTACTGAACTCAAATGTGGAACCAAGGTGAGGCCTTGACCAAATACTACTGCAGGAACATGGGGACATATTCATGCCTCTGCAAGACAATGAAGTTTGGAATCATGGGAAGAATGAGGATATGAAATGCACTTCAACCCAGCTTAATTCTCCAAATCCTCATTGATTTTAAGTGTTTGTTTCTCTGCCATCAGATAGAGAATATAAGAATCCTGACTTTTCATGGCCTCAGAAGACAAAAGAATTGTAGTAGTTGGATATCATCATCATCAAACAGGTATCATTTAAAAATAGAAGCAGGAAGCCAGACACAGTGGAGCATACTTATAATCTTAGCACTTGAGAGGCTGAGGCAGGAAGATCACCACAAGATCTTTGGAAGCTAAACTGAGGTACACAGTGAATTCAAGGCAGCCTGGGGTACACAATGGATTCAAGGCCAACCTGCATTGCATAGTGAGACTCTGATTTTTTAAATGAGGCAGTGAAGAAAGGAAGGAAGTAAAAATACAATTAAAAATTCAGATGAAGCTAGCTAGCTGTCTGTCTGGTGAGGCCTGCAGTTCATGTGTTTGGAACATTGATCAAAGACTTAGAATATTCAGGCTTTAGAAATGTTCCTATCAATTGATTGATATGTTATTCTGAGTAGCAAATAAGGGGTACTTTTGAGAAGGCCTTCTGACTTATGTCTTCTGCATCTAGGTTTGAACTTTTCACTCAATCATTAATTTAAATAAATAAATGATTCATTAACTTGGGGCTTGGTGAAGGTAAACAATCCTTGATATTTGTCTTATACCGTTTTAAAAAACAACTCATATTTTTTAGTGCCTACAGCACATGTTTATTGTTTGTTCACACACACATATGCCTAGACACAGAGTGAAAAATCTTCATGATTCCACATGGATGACTGATTACATACAGGAGTGTGCCAGTGTATATACAATCACAGGACAAATGAAAACACTGGCATACAAACCCACTCAGAATCCCATAGATTGATCACATCAGATCACACAATACTGTTTTTCTAAGAAGCATAAACAGTAATTATTCCAAAGGAATAATGGATAAAGGTGCAACATCAAACTTCAGTCAAGTAAACGCCCCCACGTCATAAAAAGGGGTCTGAAAGCTTATAAAACTCCTGAACACTTAAAATAATAATAATTAAAAAAAGACAGGCATGGTGCTACATGCCTGTAATCCCAGCACTTGGGAGGTGGAGGCAGAAGAATCAGGAGCTCAAAATCATCGTCAACTATATACTGAGTCCAAGGCCAGGCTGGCTACATGAGATCTTACTTCAAAAATAAAAAAAAAAAAATTTTTAAATGTTAGTCATTTTAGACATAAAACAGGATACCAAACAGGCAGTGATCTAGTTAGGTCTCCCACTCTGGGCTCTTAAGTCAAGAAGGACATGCACTCCAGATGTCCAGTAAGAGAGACGGAGCTGGCAGGCTGTGGTGGCAGGTAGGGACTGGGAGGCTGCAGTTCTTGATCTCCAGCAGGACCTGAAAAGAAAAGCAAAAACTAGAGCCAGATTATATACATGTCACCATCCAGTGAAACCTTTAAACTTTGGTGTCCCACCCAATCTAAGGATTGTTGCTGAAATCAGAAACAAGACATACTCCCTTATCTCTGGTCTTGGCTCTACTGCTTTTCAAATACAACTACTAATTCTTTTCATCAAACCTGGGATCTCCAGATATGATCCTCACTGTGTTGGTGAAGTACTCCATTTCCTCATACTCCTCTCCCAGGCTTGCTGGCCCAGCCTGCACCACCCACTCTGCCAGACCTCTGTGGGAAACAAAGTCTCCATCTTCATTCATTACCTTTTGTTCCAGTACATCCACCACCCAAAGTGGCTTCCTACTAATATACACTTCATCAAGGTTTTTGTTGTTTTCTCATCCGGGATCAACCTTCCCTTCCAGCCTCCCTAACTATGTAGTTCTCCTCTGAGTTCATGACTGGATGGAGCAGTGATAGTGACTGGAAATATTCAGATTGGAAAACATCCAGGCTTCATATCTACATGGAAAGCACTGAAGATATCAGTATGATCTCATTCCATTCCAGACTCTTATCCCCTGTGCATGACCTCCCAGTAGTCCTCCCCAGTCTACAGTGGACTGGAGCCATTGCTCTGGGCTTCAAGTTATTATTCTATTCCTTCCACTTGATAAGCTTCAGTAAGACCTGGCCATGTTAGTGTGGCCTCTGTCTACAGGGGTCTTTTGATGTTGCTGTGGTGGTTGTGGTTTTGTTTTAACTTCAGCGTTCGCTGCTGAGCTAAGGCACTTGAGAACTGAAGATTCACTGAGAAGTTCCTGAGTAACATCTCTCACATCAGACTGAGGAACAGAAGTGATCCAAGATGGTCCAAAATGCAGGTTTCCAGGCACAACCAGTTTACCATAAACCCTCCAACTTCCCAGCTCCCTCCATGCCATGTTTTACCTTGAAGAAGACAGCTAGTTACCTGGCATGCTGCCATGCTGCTGAAGAGAGGCACAATCAGGAGGAGGCTGACAAGAGTTTTTCAGGGCCAACAGGGCCTCGGCAGCCTCCAGCTTCCTCTGCCACTCTAAGGCAGCAGTAACAGAATCCTGCTTGGTGGCATTTGGGACCTGCAAAAGAAATGGCATTAGATAATTGCAGCTGGGAAACCATGCCTCCTCCCACCAACACAGGTGCCCTTTTAAGTGCAGTTTCCTCTAGCACCACCCCCAATCCCAAGGCTTTTTGCTCTTCCCATCCACTAAGCTCATTCCCTCCCAGGGACCTGGATCCCACTACTTTGACAGGACCTGTGGCTGCAGTAGAAGAGGGTCAGGGGTAGCACTGGGTTGCAGGATCACACTTGAGAATCTGGAAACAAGGAGAGGAGAGGCCAGGGGATTAAACCCTCTGGTGGCAATCTACTTCCAGAACACTTGGAGGACCAGGTGTTTGCAAAACCAGGGTGGGAAAATATGAATGTCCCGAAAATGCACCTGGTTAGCCTGTTTCCTTTTTAAACTTCTGTATTTTTCTTGAAACACTAATTTATACCAGATCTTTCTTCCCGGGGCTACAATGAAGATGATGAATCCAAAGTGATATGCTATAATCTGCAAAGCAGGTGGAAAGATGTGAGTCCCTCCTTTTTCAGGGACTGGCTCTTGCTTCCATTTTGCTCAGTCCCCACTTCTTATGAAGTGAGGGGTCAATTTCTGTTCAGATGGTGTCATTAAATGACAGGGAGCATGAGAAGTGCCAACACCTCCTGTGGCTGTTTGAGCAGACTTAAGTTTCTGGAACATTATATGGCTTATAATGAACTCCTAGCTAACTGGAAACCCTACAATTTGGCATCTAAGCACAGGGAGTTGTCTGCTTCATGCCCTTTGTCTACAGACAAACTGCCTGGACATACTTCCCCATCCCCATATACTCTCACATAATGCGAGTTGTGTGTTTTTCGGACTCATTGGGCAGTAACTCAATATGACCTTAGCTGATTGGGTCATGTATGTGTATATAACAGTGAACATACACATTAAACCAGATCTGCACCTCAATGCTGGGCTTTAGAGTCTGCTTCCTGGGAAGCTCATTGTGACTCTGTCTCCCTTCCCCTCCCCGAAACTAGTCAAGAAAGGAAGAAAAACCCCACAATGAAGGACGAGTCAGGCCCTTCTCTAGGAAGTTCTTTCTGCTGCCTTTAGCATTCCTCTAGGCCTCTATGACCCTGCCCATCATGACCCCAAATTCCAACAGAACCTTCTCTCACATTCATTTATGGTAATATAAAAGTAACAGCCCAGTCATATTGAAGGCTTACTATGTGGTATGCTTTCTTCTAGCTCTCTTGTCAATGTTATAAATGTAGACTGTTTTCCCAAAGTGGCTACTGGAAAACATATCCTTGGAAAGATGAAGTCACTTATCCAAATACTCAAGATTAGGAATTCTCAAGCCTCAAGATCCTCTCTTCAACTCCTCCTTCTGAGGTGCTGCCTTCTTTTCCTTCTTGTTCTCTCCCTCCTCTTTGTCTCCTGCTACCATATTTCTTCTTCCTTCTTCTCTTTCTCCTTTTTTATTTGTCTACCTCCCATGGCACCAACCACAGTGTTGAACATGGAATAATATGAGATGTGACTGTTTTTAGGTCCTTATTCAACTCACCTTTTGGGCCTGGCAGAAGGACCAAGAGGGTCACGTGAAAAAGAAATCTCTGGTTTCTGCTCCAAGGCCACTGGAGTACAGGGCAGAATTGAACATTCTCTCACCTGGCTATGCATCAGAGTTCCTTGAGAATTTCCCTGCTGGAGTAGAGACAATAGTAGGAATTTGGGCACCAGGCCAACCATGAAAAGAGGAGAGATGAACATGTTGTAGGATGTGCACAGCAACCCAGAATGTAAGAATGTGAAGACCTTAAAGATCATCGAGGCTTACCTTTAATTTTCAGTTCATACTAAAATCCAGGAATATGTAGTTAATCCCAATGTCACATGGTAAGTCATGGAAGATTTGGGGATGGAACACATGTCATTAGGACACAGTACACAGGGCCTGGTAAGTAGCTTCTGGAAACGCCTCCCATAAGCAACCATCTCCTTACCTTCTGTGGTACTTTGTGGGGCCTGGCCTCACTCTTGTGCACACTGCTTTCCTTCCCATCTGGAAAACACCAGTCATAGCTTAAATAAGTCTCACTGTCACTATCATTCCAAATATTCCAGCCCCACTTGGAGGATTTGTCACATTATGGCTCTTTCCCAGCTCTGAGATAGCTTCCTTTCTTTAGTGAATGGCCACTAGGGAGACTGATCAGAGGATCAGAGGTATGAGAACACTTTGGGATAACTAACAACACGGTATCTCAAAATAATAACTTACCACTCAACAACAAAAGTCTACCTACATAAAATATAAGCAACTGAATTGGACATTTCTCCAAAGCATTTGATTCCTAACATTGGTTTGATGAGTGTAACCAACAGTCACACTACAATTTCAAGACAGGGATACTGACAGAATTACTAATGTTCCCTCCATCTGAATTCAGCTTCTCTTACCAGCCAAAGATACTCACTGCGGTTTTCTGCTTCAACAGTCAACTTCTTGCCATGCTTGTAGAATTTAGGGGCAACAGCCATATTCTTTATCCGTCCCCGATCCAGGTGCCTCTTTAGCCTTGGCCCCTGCTCCTTCTTTGAGGACTTCACAGCAAGCAAGGGACCATGTTTTCCCCTAAAGTGAAAGATTGAAGGACCAAGGTTAGCAATGTGTAAAAGGCCTGACACTTACCTTGACAGACATGATACTCACAAGAACACAGTGCAACTGTGACATTTGTGGGCATAGAAGAGGCAAAAATGACCCTTTTAATCCCTGAATTGGATGGTGATGCAATGGTTGGCCTATAGGTCTTCTGGAGTCAAATCCTTTCCCCCCAGGGAGTGACAGTCTCATGGCCACTGTTACACGTGGGTCAGAAGAACAGCAGGGTACAGCAGGTGTGGGTTTGTGTTCCATGGATTTAGGGTCAGAAGTGGAGGACAGAAAAGCACCTGGATCCTCCATCTCCAGGTTATTCTGTCCCTAGAAAGCAATATCTTCAGTGATTGGGACTTTTCTCTCTATTATGCTCACTGCTGGAATAAATTTTCACTCTCTTATTTCCCAATGTTTTTCTCAACTTTACCTAGCCCTTCTTATATGGTCTCCATCCCAGAAGTCCCACAAGTATGAAACTCTTCACAATCCCATAGAAGTCTAACTTGATAATGAGTTTTTCTGCTTACCTTCACTCTCCACAATCCATTTTCTGGTACAGATAGATAGTCCTACATCTACAATCACTACACTCAATTCTGTTCCATCATTAATTGCCTTCCTCACGGCCTTCATTCATTCACTTCCAGCATTGGATTTTATGTCCCATGCTATCAGTCAGCAGTTTCATGAATTCCATATTTCCCTTAACTTTCCATTAGAATTGTTCTAACACTTACCCTTAATCATGATTATCATCTTTACCCTCCCTTTATACTACCTTCTTGCTTCCCACTTAAAAATCTTATTATTTTTCTGAATCAGAGGTGATAACCAAAATATTTGATCCCAATACTCAAGAGGCTGAGGGAGGAGTATCAGAAGTTTGACACCACCCTGGGTTAACTAGGGAGACAGTATCTCAAAACAAGAAAATGAACAATTCAACAGTACAAAATTCTACTGAAATGTAAGCCAAGGACAGAAACAGACATTTCTTTAAAGCACACAAATGGCAAAGTGAAATGATTTTCCAAAGCAATAATAAGTGGGGAAATGAAAATCAAAGCTACTAGGGTAGCTGATTCCCCTAAAAATTGTGACAAGGCTGTAGGAAGATAAGGAGAAATTAGAGTCTTGTGTACACTATTGCCAGAACTATGAACTGGTGTAACCGTGAGACACTGTCTTTTTTCTCCCAAATCTCTAGACACCATTCAATTATTGTTGTCCCTACAAACCTTTGTTCAGTTCCAGATTTTTTTTGTGGAAACCCTATGAAATAGTGGGCCTTGGTAGAAATAATAGACACCCTGTTAGCTGACTAATTTTTCTCTTCCTGACCAGCACACCCTCTTGATTTTCATTCAGATTTTCCAACACATCGTCCCACCAATCCTTCAGACTGTTCTCTATACTTCAAGAATTACACTGGGCACAGCAACTCCTGTTCCAACACCTCCATCTTGCTCTCTCCCCAAGTGAGCAATGGAGACTGATTCCTCCAGAAGTTCACTAATTCTGTGTTTCCCCAACTCAGAGTCAAAGCAGCAGCTTGAGCTCTGCCTTGGGGGGTCCAGGGATCAGTGATCTCCCAAAAGGAGATCCTGAGTGGCAGAGACCCAAAGGATCTCCAAAGTCACTGGGATTTTCTTCCCTACCACTTAAGTAGAAGAAAGGAAGAAAGAATTAGCTACCTAGAAAGGACAGAGGGAAGGAAGAATAGGCACAGAATATGAAGGTCATAATCCTGAAGTCAGCCTGTGGCTACCCCAGATTCTTGCAGGTCAGAATCAATCAGTTAAATCATCAGGGACAATCTGGTTCCTTCTCCCACCCACTGCTTTACCAGGCTAGTCACAAACAGCTGGAACTACCCACTAACAATACACTTTGAGACTCACTTGCATCCTTAACACTGCAAGGCTTAGGATTGCCCTCCTGTCTTGTACTGTTCATTTGTGCTCACTTATGTAAGCTAGTGAAGGTGAACTGTGATCCCTTGGCAGGTTTCCCAGAATTGCCTCCTTTGGACATAAAATGTTATGTGCATGCACTTTTAGCACATCCACCTGCCACTGTATCTTTTCAAACTTCAGCATGCAATTTGGTTTTGTTTGTTTGTTTGTTTAGGACGAAGCCTCACTATGTAGACCAGGTTGTCCTGAACTGGAAGTGATTTTCCTGCTTCTGCTTCCCAAAAGCTGTGATTTCAGGAATGCATCACCACACCCAGCAGAGTATGCATGGAACAAGTTTTCTCACTGAGACACCGTCCTAAATCCTCAGAGAACACTGCTGATGTCTGGGAACACAGTGCTCCCTCTGGTGTGAGTCTTTCTCTGAGCTTTCTTTTCTGTTCCACAGATAAAGCCCTCAATTTCTCTGATAGCTCTATGCTGCCTTAGGTTCTTTTGTTTGTTTGTTTTTATTTTTATTTTTTCAGTCCATTGCAGGACATGATGTCTGCTAGGAAATGTCCCTAATTATAACAACCCGAGTTTGATTCTCTGGGCCCACATAAAGGCATGTTGAGGTGCCCCGCAATGGAAATCCCAGAACACCTGTAGTAAGATGAGAAGTTTTGCTGTAAGCTTCCTCTCTGATAGCTAACTCTAATAGTGCAGGTTGCTGAAAGGGAAATGTCATCAATATTCTTACCCAGCTGCAAATCTTGTGAACTGCAATAACAACCACCATGGCAAGAGGTGTCCCTGAGTACAATAGTGAAAAAGTGGTATGGGGATATACTGCTTTCCTGTTGGATTACCTGCACATCTTGCCAAGAACCCATGGTTGGGGAGCTCAAAGGTCCCAGAGGTAAATCTACTATTATTATTTTACTAAATTGACACAGTAACACATGCTTTCTAAATTTGTATATTAGTGCAGCCCCCAGATCTCATCAGAGAAGTGTCTGTCTTTGTGCAGTGAACAGTAGTTAACTAAGAAACACCATAACCAGCCAAGGGAGAACAAGTGATTATAGAGTGCTAAGCCATATATGGGACATCGATGTCATACACACCCCCAAAGCGATCCTGGAAGAGGGAGAAGTAACATTGTAAGAATCAGTGGTGGTGGAGGACAAGGATGAAATAATGTCATGAAGACATGGCTGGACTGCTGCACTCATGAAAACACAGCATCTGTGGCTGCCTATACAAGACCTGCAAAACAGTAAGACAACATTATACTATGTCGTAGGGAGAGGTTCATGAGCCACCACTTGTAACTGAGGAGTTACAGACAGTTGATGGCTCCTAGGACAGGGAGAGTCAGGATTTCTTTTAAGGGTGTGACTATTGGTTAACTGTGTTCAAGTAGACGTCCCTATAGCCAGAAGCAAAAGGGGACAGTACCAATTGGAGCCAATGGGTTATTGAATTTAAAAAGGTAGTACTAGGGTAATGGCTCAACAGATAAGAGGGTGTACTGGTTTTGCAGTGGATCCAAGTTCAAACCCCAGCATTCACAACAGGAAGTTGTTCATAACCCATATCTACAGCTACAGGGGATCCAACATCCTCTTCTGGCCTTCTTGGGCACCAGAAGACACATTTATAAAGCCCCACATACATGCGTATTAACTGTAAATATGACAAAATTAAAGATTAGAAGTTGTGGAGGAGTTGGTGGTAAATAAGATCAAAATGCATTGCATGAAATTCTCAAAGAACTAATAAAATTATTAAAAGTAGAAAACAGTACAAGAAGTACTACAGTCTAGTATTTCTCATGAGCATAGATTCAAACCTCCCTCATGAAATTTTAGCATTTTGAATCTGTGTGAAAAATATTCATTAGCAAGCACAGCTTACTGTAAGAATGCAAGACAATTTTACCATTAATGTTTCTTAGATCTATTTATTTATATACTCTACCTTCATTCATGTATGTGCAACATGTACCTGGTACCTGCAAGGTCAGAGGAGGGCATCAGATTCCCTGAAACTGAAGTTGTAGGCAGTTATGAGCCACTATGTGGGTTCTTTAAATTGAACCCAGATTCTCTGCTATAGCAACAAGTGCTCATAATCACTGACATTCAACTATCACAAATAAAGCTAGCCTGGTGGTGCATTACTATAATATTAGCACACAGGCAGCTGTAGCAAGAGGATCACCATAGGTTGTAGGCCAGAGTGTGATGCACTGTGAATTACAGAACACCATCTGCTACAGAGTGAGACCCTGTCTCAAAAAGAAAGAAATAAAGAAAGAAAAGAAAGAAAGAAAGAAAGAAAGAAAGAGGAAAGGAAGAAACAATGAATGAAATTTACTGTACTAGCTAGATAGAAGAAGTTACTAAGACATGAGCCAGAAAGGGAATTTGATAACATAAAAACTCCATTGAATAAGAATGTATGGCAATTTAGAAACATAAGAAAATAATCTCAATCCAATAACGTATGGCTGCAAAAAACAAAGTTTGTTGGAAATGCTTAATGATGAAAAGTTAAATAATTTTCTAATGAGTATTATAATATTTTCACAAATCAATATACTTTGCTCACATTTACCTTCATTACTCTGCTTTTCCTGTCCAGTGTGTCCTCTTTCTCCACACAAAAAGGATCCCCTTGTACTTTCTTACACACTGTACACATTTAGAGTTGAAGGTTGATTCCACACATGCACAAAATAAATGACACTTGTCTTTATTTTCTCTAGTGCCCCCTTTTCACACCCTTTACGTTCCCTTCTTCCCCTAAATGCTCTCACTTGTACTTTTGTACTTTGATGTATGGTCTAGGTTGCATTGTGATAGAAAGCATGCAATAAGGAAAACACAAAAAGTTCCTGTCATTTTAGAAACGTGGCTGTATGTTCAGATTTTCACAATATGCCCACAGCATTATACCATTACCTTTGGCTTGTTCAGTCAGGCAATAAATGTAAATAAAGGTATATAAACTGAAAATGAAGGCGTGAGAACCTTGAGGAAGGGGGATTCTGAGAGGAGTTGGCAATGG